ACAACCATTGTAGTAATTAACTGTTAATTGTTTGATTACACTAATCAACTCGCTTGTCCCATGTCAATAACATGTTACACGACAATTTAAACTGTCAAACACCAAGCGGTCACCGGTGACCGCAACCTATTGTTCTATAATTGTGTCTGTATTGACGGTACTCGACGAGTTAAATTCTAGATTGAACAGTACATAATTTTAGCAATTAATTTCTACAAGCTTTATTTTACTGAATTGTATCAATCGATATCAATTTTACAGATTTAACGCTAACGGACTGATTTTTACAGAGGCCCGAGTTTTCAATCATTAGTTAATTATTAAATGTAGAATAAAATTGATAATTGTCAAATGCTCAAAGATATTCCTCCATGTATTCCTCAGTTAAAATGATAATGACCTTTATCTGGCTTTTAGTCCAGGCGCTGGGTGAAGTTGAGTATACAAAATGTGAGGACAGCATTTGGTGTACGGGTTTGAACTCAGAAAAGCATGCATGCAAAAAAGCAACAATTATTGAAATAAAAAATATTTAAACTAAAAAAATCTAATTTAAACATCTCATAAAAGAAAAAAAATTAAATTATAAATATTTTTTATTCTGACAATCGTTATTTATGCATAATGCATCTTTTATTTTTAATTTTCCTATTCTTTTTTTACTTAACTAACTGTAGGTATAAAAAAAATAATTGTATATTCTCACTAAAACAATCGTAAAAATGATACCAAAGTATGTGTTCAGTCCAATTTTTAGATGTCTAGAGGGAGGGGGATTTTATTTTCTTTTATGAGATGTTTAAATTTGATTTTTTTAGTTTAAATATTTTGTTTTTCAATAATTGTTGCTTTTATTTGCATGCATGCTTTTCTGAGTTCAAATTCGTACAGCAAATGCGGTCCTCATATTTTGCATACTCAACTCCACCCAGCACCCGGTTTATTTGGAAAAATCGGCCCTAACAGATTTAATTGAGAACCTAAAGGGTAACCGGGGCTCTGGCTCGACGTGCAGGAGAAGGAACGGGGTGGTTTTTAGTCAGTAAGAGTCTGACACTCCCTCCCGCCCCACCCAGGCGGGAGAAGTCATTCGATGATTATACCCCCTTAAAAAAATACGTAGAAAAATAAGTACGCGACATAAAATTCTAAAATCCGTGCTACTTATCTGTGCTCCACATTATGCTAATGACCATTAAACTAATAAAGTCGACAAACAACAATAGCATTTATAATCGAAGTAGGTTGGTATAACTTAGATTACAGATATAGACTCAGTAACTAAATAACGGTCCCCTATGACATTGAATCACAATGCTTCAAGTTCTGCATTGAGACCTTGAATACATGAACAGTTCCGACACATGGTGGCATCGCCTCGCGTCGACCATAATGTTGCTGTTATGTCATCAATTATTGTGCTCGATGCAACTTCTGCATAGCTTGGTAGTTACAGAATAGAATATACACATTGTAGAATACATATACCCATAGCTATATGGTTATAGCTAAAAATCCTAATAATTATAATAACTTCAAGCCTAACTTCATGCATAATTCCTTCAGAGTTCAAATATTATTTCGTATAATCCCACAGAAATATTAAAAAAGTATAATCCTAACATACTATGGAATAGCAAAATATCAAATAATTATTTGACTATCAGGGTAATAACTTAATCTAAAAGCTAAAACTTTTGGAGCATACCAACTTAAAAGTTTAGTGTTTTGTGAAGAGCATCGTAATTTTCTTATTGTTTGTTCGTTTATCACCGAGCAAGTAAGTTATATTAAACAACCCAATTAGTTGGTAAATATTATTGCTACAGAACTCATTAGTTGGCTACAAACAGGAAACGTGTATCTAACCACAAATGTTCCTCAACCCTTATCATAAAACTAATTGTTTTGGTAGTTTGTAGTGCGTACAATTAATTTACCATCATTACCTTACAAGCAACATAAATGTACAAATTAGGTATTTGGTCGACCGACAACATAGCTACTTCACGCTTAAATTACACGCAGCTACTGTATACTCTCTCACGCAACCCTTCAAGGACTTATTTCAAATCAGTCTCGTGCTTTTCCGTAGTTTCCTCAGATCAGTTGACCCACTGACCCCAATAACAGAAAAGGGTCAGCCATGTTGTAAAAATTTCGATTGCGACTCGGTATAATTAAGCAATGCCTACAATTTTATTTTAAGCTCTGCCTAGCTTAGCTATGAACCTATTTACGTCGTGACGTGCTTTCCAGCAATGAATAATATCATTTTCAAGTGATAAACCTAGCTATGAAGGTTTTTCCAGTCATTACATCTGACTCTGAAAGTAGATAGTAACAGTATACCACCTACTGTGGAAATTATTTTGCGGGAAAAAAACTATGTAAAATAAAAAGTAAGTAACTCATCATATAATTCGCCGTACTCATTTTGTAGATATTCTAAATGGGAGACATTTTTTATGGGATAATTCGGTAAACACAAGTGTTGTTTCACGTCGGTTTTCTATGAGGCCGTGGTACCATTTTGGTCGAGCCGGCCCATTCGTGCCGAAGCATGACTCTTCCGCACTCAGATTTAGCATTTAGTATAAAATTTGTCGATGTGGATAGATCCACTTGTTCAACAAATCAGTGTATGCAGTTTGCAGTTACGTACATTATGCATACATAACCGCACGCCTGTCTCTCATGAGGCAGTTACTACGGAACGCCAATTGCTACGATTCTTACATAATTCTTTCGCTTCATCAACAATATTTTGAAACTTCTTTAACTTCTAAACTTCATTACATTGTCTTGTCTACATTGTTTTATCTTGTTTTGATCTTTTTTTGGAGTATTTTAATGAAATCAAAATCAAACAAAGGAAGACATGTGATTGTAAATAAATATTGCTAAATTCGAACAAATCTAAGAGCAAGACGACAGGCAAAGTTGTTACTGACATCATGTCATGTCCGTAGCGAAAGAACTTATGTACTGCCATACTCGCGAACAAAGTCGTTGATTTATCAAATATAGGTTAGTAAATAAATCAGTGCATATATAATTCTTATAATATATTAGTACGGGTGTAATATATAGGGAAGTAGGCCGTATGTCGACCTGATTTATCCTCACGATATTTACTTTTCGCTCAGTGTGCGCAGTGTCAAGCTCTTGACGCGTCAGTACTACGTGTGGGTAGTTAGAGCTCTGCAGCAAGTAGGTAATACATCATGGGGGTACGCCTACGATTTACACTAACATGCTATCGGGCGATTAGTGTCGTTGTTTCATAAAACTATTTAATACACTCACAAATTAGCGATAAACACTTTCACTGGCCCTTTCGAGAAAGTGATGAGAATTAAACCTGACTACGAATTTTGTAAAAATTGCTTGGTGAGAGTAAATATAAAAATATATAATTCACCAGTCCTAAGTGCATTGTACTTTTTAATGCAGACGGATTAAAATGCCTAGTTTTAATAAAAATCTCATAAATATTACAAAACCTAGAATTTATGCAATTATTTCACGAAAATGTATAATTAAGTATTTAAAACTGAATCGCAAACGATTAATTATGTAAATTATTAACTTAACATTTAAAGTTTGCATTCTTAAGTCCTATCGAGCTAGTAACCTATGCCATGCACTCGTGTTCCCAGGCATTACACGTATGTAGTACGTGTATACTTACATAGTGTTAAAGTAAGCATTAGTTTCACACGAATATATAAAGTCTACTTGGAACAAGAAACTGGGTAGTTACTACCACGAAATGCAACTTTAGGATATTTAAATAACCGTAACGCCTAGCATTAGTATTCGTTTTTCAAATTAATCATGTCACGGTTTAACAAATAATATTTCCTATCGCCATTTCCTTCGACTAACAAAGTAGGTAAACTGCCAAATCAAGATTCAGAGGAAACAACATTCCGCTCGGCTGCCACTATAAAAATCGGCGAAGGTCATTTTCCTCGGTTAATCAGAGTAAGTGGTATGTTGTGGTGGTCAGTAGGCACTGTGGCCAGCCGTCAGGAATATGGGTCAGCGATCAATCGCGATAGGAGCAAGCTCGGCTACGCTTGCGATTATATGGAAATTAAACGATCAGCCGTCGCACTCGCCACTGACCGTACACTACTTAAGAACCAGCTTTATTGCTTTAACTCTCTTTAAACGTACAATAAAAATTCTAGAACTTTACAGTCAGCTAGAAGTAGGTACATTTGTAACGATTTGCGTGCACTTTCGCATTAATAACTGGGGCATAATAACACTTACCACATTTCAGCTGCATGCTCCTGCGAGCTATACTTTCTAGCAAGGTGCACTTTTCACTTGGGAAATGTTTCAAACTTTCCACCGAGCCGTCAATCAACCTTAACCTTCTGAGCACTTACTGTTACAGCTAACTCGTGGCTATGAAGCACAGTGTCATTTGGAGCTCGAGTATTATTTGGGCACCGATTTTATCGCGAGGGTTGTCGATAATCGTGCGAGCAGACAGCCACGTCGATGTCCATAGTGGTAATTGGTAAATAAACGCCGATGACAGAGACATGGTGTGGCACATTGACGGCGGAGTCGCCATGACTACACGAGGGACGCCCGCCCGTTGCCATAGCCAGCTGCGGCGGCGGGCGTCGTGCCATACCGTGCAAGGTTGCTCGGATATTACCATGCTACAACTTTGGGGGATTTGTTGCTTAATTAACAAAGTGAATATTGATTGATTCCAGTATTTTGTAGCACTCATAAAACATTACTTTTTATTTAGGTTGAGTGTCACCGGTATTTCCTTACTTACATGTGCATGTTATACACACAAAAATTTAAAGTATTTTCGCATCTAAATGAAATTGAGCATGATAACCGCGCAAATTAGCGTATGAACATAAAGTGCATCATTTTGGAGACTCGGTTGCCAAAGAAAAAAAAATAAGTGCTGGTTGTTACATTTTTGTTGCTAAAAGATTATGAAAGAAATAAATACACAATTAGGTACAAAAGCTATTTATAGTCATACATTTTTAGATAACAATCATAAATACGATAATTAATATTACAAATAATCATAATCAATAAACTTAATTATCCTACTACAGGAATACATTTGCCCTTAATACTTCGTTTACTGCCTGGCGGGCATGGCAATAGTACTATTGCGCTGGTCTCTTCCCCAAACCTGGACTCTAAGTTGAGCCTCTCGCAGGTTACAGCTAAGTTGGTGGCATTGACAGCGAGTGCAGCTGGAATGGGCCACATGTGTCTGCAGGGCGCGATGGTGGCCAGCTGTTCACACCTTCCATTGTATTGAACGTATGTATCAATGGAGCAAGGGTTCTTCTCACACACAGGTATGGCAGACTCCGGTTTTAACACGAGGTACTCTCCATCCTGGCACGGGCCTTTTCTATAAGCTGGCCAACAAGCGTCCGATTTGGGATGATATAAAAATGCTGAAAATAAAAATATATTTAGGTTAGTATTTTGGTGTCATTATACATATGGGCGTAGTAGGCTGGGTAATTGGCTTCTATGCTATGTTTGGCGGGTTTCATTCGTATGTCAGAACACACAGTGTACCTGGATTTTTCTGGACTCGTGTCGACTACAAATATTATTGGGAAAGGCACAGAAAAAATTGGACAAATAAAAAATATAATAGAAATTGCTTTGAATCCTCACCTGGCCTGCAATCGCAAATCCAGTCGTCTTTCTGGTCCCCTGGGTAGTACAATTCGCTGTCAGGACACATCGAGGGAATGTAAACAGGCTGCCGGTGCTGGAACAGAAAAACATAAACTTTTAAAACATTTTGTAATAATTTTTGTTAGGTGGGTAGACATCGAACAATGTTTTGGTGAAAACCATATTCAAATCCATGCATTAGTTTTTAGACTGACAGACTAAACTTAAGACCATTATTTTCTTCAATATCAGTTAAAAAGGTACGTCAGCCACAAAAAAACTTCATGCATACAAAACGAAGGCAACGATCAACTTACAACCATGGGCAAATCTACAAGTCTACCTGCAGATGAAGTATTTAGTAGAAGCCAAGCGAAGGTTAAATGTCAAAATTCTGGTGATTCTTCAAAAGTTGACCCTTATTTTGCAAAAAGGTCTTCAGTTTCGTCAGGAGATTAGGATGATTAATTGTATAATGATTCGTCGGTGATGTAAATGAGGTACATGACCTACAAAGGAACGCAAGAAAAAAAATAAGTAGGTATTATTTATATCGTGAATAAAGTTACTAGTGGGACCAATGGCTACTTGGTAATGGACGGATGCATTCTACGTAGACCCAAACTGGTTTTAGGATGAATGACACAGCAGATAAAAATAAATGATACAAACTTGTTCATTAAACTAATATGCTGGGAAAACCATAATTTACCAAGTTTCGTTTTGATTAAAACATAGATACAGGATTTAGGTAAATAGCTTTTTGTATTATGGATTGTTATTTATTATAAAATCTCTGGAATCATTTTTGACATTAGTTGTCCGTACATCTTCATAGTAGACTACAGAAACTCCGTAGTTTCGTTTAGAAAAAACAATTTCAACGTCCACTACTTTAAGTCGGTTAACTAATACTGAAACTTTCTCCTAAGTGTAACGAACACTTTTCTGAAAACTGCATCAAAATCGGTTCAGCCTATTGCGAGATAATCGCGCATAAACATACATACAAACAGGTTTTATTTTCAGGGGGGAAAGTCATCGAATGACTGCCCCCGCCTGGGTGAGGCGGGAGGGAGTGTCAGACTCTTACTGACTGAAAACCACCCCGTACTCCTGCGCTTCGATCCGGAGCCACGATAACCTGTTAGGTCCTCCGCGACTTACATACAGGTTACCTTACATTTACATTGTGAACCTTCTTTTTTTAGTTTTTGAAGTCAGTTAAAAACCGAGATCGATCCAGAGATATTGGATAAACATTGCTTATTATATGTCAATTTTCCATATAATTTTACATAACTTTATCACGCCTTTTATCCCTGAAGGGGTAGGCAGAGGTGCACATTATGCCTATGTACAATGTAAAACCCACTTTTCCCTGTTTATGTTACGAGTCCCATGTAATAGGGGTGAGCCTATTGCCATATACCGGGCACAATTCCAGACTTCGTGCTACTTTTCAGATTTTTTTAAAACCCAGTAATACTTTGCCAAACACGGGAATCGAACCCGAGACCCCCTGCCCGACAGTCGCACTTGCGACCACTCGGCCAACGAAGCAGTCTAATTTAATTTTTATATAATTTTTATATCAGTGTTTTATAAATACAAATAAAACTGAGATGTGGGTACCCGTGTTTTGCTCGTCAGATGAATCAGTTGGCCTCAAACTGCGAATGCGTTATCTTATTAAGAAACCGGCCTTCCCCTACAGATAAACAAACATGTTACGAATGTACCTACCTACTTTCATAAAGCTTCATTAAGGAAAAAACTATATTTGCAAGCAGAACACGAGATTTTGTTAAATCAGATGATATTGTGTAATTTCTATTTAAACTGTGACGTAGGATCGTACCGACATTGATATGATTTTAACGACTTCTATGAAGGGGGGAATGTTTAGCTTACCTTAACTTTAACGTATTTTAAGGAATCAGAAAACGCGATACCAGAAGTGATTACTATCATTATTTGTTTTCGTTTATCAAACACGAGACAGATAAACAAAATGAGAATGTGTATTTAATTAGTAAGTAAATTAAGTAATGGTCACCTAATCAGGAATATAGTAAATATCCTTAATGACACAGATAACGTACTTATATATAATTATCTATTGTCGATAAGTAAGTGTGTCTATGTATATACTCTCGTTATCGCAATTAGAGAAAGTAATTTGGGTACTGGTATAACAAACTTTCCTGGCCTTTAGGACAAAAAGAAAGTCGTTATAAAACATTTTAATATGAAGGTGTCTTTAAAATTATCTAAGTATTTACATTATTGAATATAATTACATACATACATACATAACTTCACGCCTGTCTCCCATGGGGGTAGGCAGAGACTAAGGAACGCCAATTACTACGATTCTTACATACCTCTTTCGCTTCATTAACAGTCATCAATCTTTTCATGCATGCTCGTCGGTTAAGGGTACTTTTAATTTGGCCCTTCTTTAATATATCGCCAATCTGGTCACTATATGTCCGTCTAGGGCGCCCTCTACCGACGGCCCCATTCATATCCGCTCTGTATACTTCTTTTGTTACTCTACTTTCATCCATCCTTTCTACATGTCCAAACCAGCGTAACATTCCCTTTTCAATCCTTGTCACTACATCATCTTTCAATCCACACCTTTCTCTAATAACACTATTTTTCACTCGATCCCTCAATTTTAGTCCATTGAATATAATTCCTACGTACTATCCATATAATCTTACAGCCACGTGATTTGGTATTTGTTTTTTGTACTTGTAAATTCGTTACGCTATTTCGTCGCCACAAGCAATGAAGATGATCACAGCAAAAAATAAATGACTAGGAACTTTACCTAGATCCTTAGATGTGACTACAAAAAGAAACGGATTTACTTAAATGCACAAGGTTTCAACTATAATCATCCAGTCGAAGAATAATTATATAATTTAATTGATTTTACAAAACGGAGCACTTTAGTTTAATGTTTATATTTATTAGGTACCTACATAATATGATACCTTATATCAACCCAGTAAGAGTAGGTACAGAAGGCTTTTTTCACCAGTTATCAGAAAATCGACAGTAAATAAGGGGATAAGTATATTCACCTAGAAAGAAATTATAGTTAGTGCCAGCGAAACTAAACAATTGATCCGTACTATCAGCATAATAATTTATCATTAAATGAAACTAATGCGTCGATTTTTATAATGATGTGGTTAAAAGGTGGTTATAACGATAATCCATAATAGAAACGTAGTACCTACACTACGTTACAACAATGACTTGGTCTTCAAAAAACCGTCAACAAGCCGAAACTATCGACAAAACTACAGCAGACCTGCCAAAACTAAATGAAGTTGTTTTCAAATATTAAAATATAAAATAGAAAAACAATTAGTGATTAGATTCTAATCATTCACCGACGTACTGTTTTATTAAAAATCGATTCTTTTTTTGGAAAAAAAAAACATGTAAACTAGTTTCGAAGTTGTAAGTAAATAAGAAAACGTGATTATTGAGATCAGAGACCCATGACCTCAGAGTGGTCACGAATGGAAGGTCACACGATATTTACTTTGGTTCAGAGTTAAAGCGTCCGACATCATATGATATTCATACTATTCCAATCATGTGAGAACTATATAACCAAGATATTATTTTTCTATTTGTATATGTTAGAATTAGACTCGAAATCTTTCCAGAACAACGAGCTATTGTAAACTTTAATTTCTTTATAACGTGTGAAGAAAATAATTATCAAAATACCCATGTAGGTATCTAACAATCAAATACATCCATTTCATATAAGTTTAAAACACAATCATTTAAAATTCGCGTTGTTTGTGGTTGATTTTTTGTTACAAAATCGTAGCGAGAAGCAAAAAATCTTACTAAGTTCGTAATATTTGTTCGAGGATAAATTATTAGAGAAACATGTTTTAACACAAGGAAAATTGGTTTCCTAATTGTACCCACTTTACATAACATGACTAAAAAGATTTTATTACCAATAGATAAATACTTACGTCTTTGTTAACAGAATTCTGATCCTCTTCCACTTCAGGGAAACCTATCGCATCTTGTGTTTGTAATTGCTTTGCCATTGCCACACTCATCAAAATAATGGCAACGATAACACTATTTAGGGAACACATTTTGCAATTATTTATTAATATTGTACAGAAACTAATCACTTTAACACTGACGACAAGAATGCTGTTAACTAGACTGACTTCAAATTAAAATTAAATTTAAAATACGAGCTGATATACACTGTGACACGGTCCAAGAGCGACTAGGCACCTCTGAGACAATGTCCGAAGCTATATACAAATTAACGAACGTCATGCATGCGTACAAATTAAAACGGGTTTGTCGAAGATAAAAAATATGTGAACACTGAACGTAAATTCCGAGGAACGGATCTTCGAAATAAAAGTACGGAAACAGCGCTTTAGTTTGTCACGTAATTTTGTCAAGTGCTAAGTTGAATGAACTTATAAACATGCGTGTTATATTATGCATTTTTATAAATCGTGATCGCGAGATTGGTTTATTTATTGTCTGAATGCTTAATTAAGCTGTGCAGTCGCTTAAGTTTGAGTACATTTTTATTTGCTTGTTCCGTATATGTTGGCAAATATTTGAATAATGTTCTCCATTGTATTTCTAAACCACAAGTGCAGTGTGCTATGCATACAAACAATAAAAAAATGTAAAACTAACGGATTTGTATAAGCAGTTGCATAACATCACATATCGGCTGTTTTTCTTCAACTTTTTTTTTAACAACAAAACCAATTATTCGTCATTCCTCCAACATGAACGTAATGTGAAACTTTCTTATTGAAAAGCGATATACGCCTCACTAGTCGGTGAATAAAACTAAAACTTCTTGCTTAGCAGTATCAATTGCGACCATTTGACGTAATTACAGATTTCTTGCTAATTTACGCTACCTATAACTAAATATTAGCTAATAAAGATGAAGCATAAAATAATGACGACACACTTTATGTGTTATCTTGTACCAAAATTAAACAATTCGACAAAGCGCTGAATTTAGTTATCAACATCTGACTCGTAAAACCACATTACTTATACTTTGCGATTTGGGCATTCAACCTAGACGATGTTTAGTAACTAGGCTTAACCTATAAATAAATAAATGCAACCGGTTGGTGGTCGCTGACGTAATAGGTACCTAACTATTTAGTTAATATAATGCAGGTGGGTATGTAAAACTCTTGCGAGTGTTTTTTTAATCGTGACTCCTCACTCCTCACTATGAGGTGACTTGTGTCGCGGTTGCGTTTACAAACATACACATTCGCATCATGTACATTGTAAACACCACAACACATACGCGGAACAACAATTTGTAAATTTGTAAATGACATAAAGAATTTATCCACATAAGAATCAAATACGGAACACGTTTTCACAGCAGCCAGTTGCCCTTCCATTGGTCGCATCGTAATATTTTTCGAGACCATTTAGTTGCAGGCAGAAAAAAACATTAATAGGTCATAGAAATCCAGGGGCATGTAACATCTTTAAACTGTCAAACACCGAGCGGTCACCGGGGACCGCAACCTATTGTTTCTTTAATTGTGTCTATAATGACGGTACTCAACGGAAGGAATTATTATAAGAAGTAAAAGAGTACCTACTTCCCAAAATACTTGCATTAATTTCAAAATAATGTAAATGTTTTTTGTGAGCGCGAAGTCGCGAATAAACGCTAGTTCCGTCTAAGCTAAGCTTGCGGTTTCATGTTAATGAATTAATAATTTTAAATTGAGCTTGGCATTTTGCTAACAGTCATAGAATAAAAAAGCTATTATAATATAATAGGTTTTAATCAGGAACTCCCAATAGTGATTATGATATTATGATTTAAAAACATAGACAGATTAAATACTAGTTTTCTGCCTTATTGATTTATTGGTCACAAGTGCAACCGCGTGCCAATAGACAGGTCAAATGTTTTGATTACCGGATCAAGCAAGATATTGGTATTATTGAATGTATGTAATAGGGCAGAGTTCTTATGTTGCGGGAAAATGTGCTTCCCGCGCCGTCGTGTGACATAAAACTCTGTATCTTGGTATCATAAAACAACCCAAATAAAAAGTTTATAAAAGGCAGGGCACTTATAATTTGGCAATAGATTCTTATCGTAATAAATTACCTGCGTGGAGCTTGCGAGGCTACGCCGTAGACGTTGCGTAGCAAGTGCGTAGGCTCTGCGTAGACCTATTTTTTATGACGAGAGAAACCTTCAAAAGGCACCTAGCCGTTTTGGGGATGACAGGCTAAGGAGTGTGGGATTTTTACCTCACTAAAACCACCCCGGTGGCCACCCTCACACCTGTATAGAGGCACCGGGTAGGCCCTGCGTAGTCCTAATATAGCTCTTTCTGAGACCTACTACTGCGTAGTTTTACGTTTTACGATAGGGAATCGGGGATTACTATAATACGGGAATATATAAAATAACTTATTAGTATTAGTTATCGATTTAAACATTCTTTTATTTGGTCCTGGTCTGGTCATAGGGACTTCCCTAATTATTGCAAGTATTTCAGATGCGGACTTTGAGTCGGTATTATTTTGCTCGACCCTAGACAATACAAACTTACGTAGTTACGTACCATTTGTTGGTTACTGAACATCACGCTTGGTTTTACTTAAACGGGTTGGCAGACGTGATCGCGACGGTTATTTTACCAAATACTTTGTGAGCAGATGTTTCTTGTTTTTCTCATCTGCCCGAAGCCTGACCCTAAGTGGTTGGACGTGGAAGACCATTAAAGTGGTTTATATGGGTACTGCTTATAGACCTATGAGCTGATCACGAAGATGTTTAAAGGTTGCCTGGTAGATTTCGCTTTTAGCGATAAGGCCGCCCTTGTACCCTCCTTATTTTTTGTAATATCCTGATACTGTAGAATTACTCGCTTGGTGTACAAAAAAGCGCATTATTATTATTATGTTTACGCTAGCGCGAGCGTGTCGGTTGTTTTACGAAGAGATGAGCATTTCAACTTTAGCGAGTCATTATTTTTAATAATATTTATCTAGAGAGCTTTGTGTCTACTATGGTTAGTCATGATAATTAAATATAAATAATTCTTTTAAAAATCCATTAAAAAACGACTCTGGTTTTTTTTAATATACTAAAACCTTCTCCTAAGTGTAACAAACATTATTATTATTATATCATCTCGCCTTTTACCCCCGGGGTAGGCGGAGGTGCACATTATGCCACTGTACAATGTAACACCCACTTATCACTATTTATATTATGAGTCCCATGTAATAAGGGGTGAGCCTATTGCCATATACCGGGCACATTTGCAGACTTCGTGCTACTACTGAGAATTTTTAAAAACCCCAGTAGTACTTTGCGCGACCCGGGATTCGAACCCGAGACCCCTTGCCTGGAAGTCGCGCTTGCGACCACTCCGCCAACTAGTGAAACAAACAGTTTACTGAAATCCGCATTAAAAATTCAACCAATTACGAGATAATCGCGCAGAAACATACACACAGGTCCAACTTAGAACCCCCTTTTTTAAGGCGGGTAAAAAATTAGTCATTAGACTTTGAATTGGTCCCGGAGAACCTAACGGGTAACCGGGGCTCCGGCTCGACGTGCAGGAGAAGGAACGGGGTGGTTTTTAGTCAGTAACAGTCTGACACTCCCTCCCGTCTCACCCAGGCGGGAGCAGTCGTTCGAGGATTTTCCCCCCTTAAAAAAAAAGACTTTGAATTGAACGTTAACAACGCTAATGGTCCTAGCAGAAATTGAGCCTGCAACATTTAGATACCACCACTCAACCAATAAAACAGTTACCCACTCACTATAAAAACCTTAATAATATAAATACCTACCCTGTAAGTCTAATCAGTAGGAACCCCTACTAATAATATATTTAATGTTTGTCTAAAAAATTCCATGGTTACGTTACTGTTCGTCGACACTACTCAAACGTCTATTGAATTTACCTCCTCATAATGCTGTTTTATTGAATTTCCAAAATCCTCTATAAATTACATTTTTAAATAGAACTTAACAATAAATATTTAAAAAAATAGGAGCCGACCAGTAGCAGGAGCATGGTCCTAGCTACCTGTGGTTAGGGCTCAAGAGACAGATTAAATAAAATTGCTCATTGAATTCATAAATATTAATAAAATTAATTAGGATGCATGCATGCTCAATGCGGGTTGGCGATTTCAAACTTGTAATTAGAAATTATTAGCCCAGGTTTCCTCACGATGTTTTCCTTCACCGTTTGTCAGTTGTATCTAAATAATCTTAGAAATTACCTACATAAACTCGGAAAGTCACATTGGTAGGTACTTGCCGTTGTTAGGTTTCGAACCCGCACCCTCATGCATGAGTGGCGGGCGTCTTAAACCTCCGGCCACCACGACTTCTTCGTTGACGAGAGGCGACGACGAGCTTGTGGTTGCTTACATATTATTATTATTAGAATTTAAAAAAAATTGCCCCACATTTTCTTCTGTGTCTTGGGTGCGTTTACAAACATACAAGTTCACATAACATAACTGCCAGACCTGAAACAACAATTTGTGGATCACACAAATTGCTCCGTTCGGGAACACCACCGATCCAACTGTGCAGTCGGAGCGATCGAGTACATAAAACAAAACTTATTGGCCGTCTGATGGTGAATGGTCACCGTGTCTCAGTCGTTGTTTCACATGTACCCGCGTTTTTTTCAATGTCCTTGGACCTACATAAGTACCAACATCGCAAGGATTTTAGTTTTCATTTTATCAAACCAGCAAGACAAGTCATAATGAACTTATTCAGACACAAGTTAGAACTAAAGATAAGCTATTTCTTGGATAGAAATAGATAGATGTACTTTATTGTTTCACGTGTTAAATACTCCGGAATAAACATTAAAATCCTTGATTCTACGAAGTCGCTTCAACAACATTTATAAAAAATTGTAACTTGGCAGTATGCTTAAACACCATTGACTTAGTTCATAAAAAAGAATGCACGTTCCATTCCACGTAATAGACGCATAAATGACGTCGGTTTATAATCACATACAGATCATACACGCATAAAAAAGAATACTGCAGTATTTTAATCCTATCAACGATATACATAAATATTTGTTTATTTCAAATACTTATAATAATAATTTATGTTTTTTACATGTCTCAAAAGAAGTTACAAATATCACAGAAGCAACGGTACTTTGCAGTTCTATCGTGAAACGGACACACGTTTAGTGTTTACGTCAACCGAGATTTTTATGTAAGTGAAATGTCA